ACCTCTGCCTAAGCAATGCTAAATCCTCAGTGTTACTGCGAGCACAGCACACCAGAGACAGTTATTACAGGGTCCCACCCACCCAGGACTGTCTAAGAAATGACTCCGCTGCACGTTTCAGTACACAGTTACTTGTGGAAAAGGCTGTCAGTCCAGCTAGCACACCAGAAACTGGAAGGTGAGCTGTTGGAGAGGAAAACAAGGAGCTTTGCAAGGGTCTCGCTCAATATTTAATCTGTCATTTAGAACTAACCCAAAGTTCAGAATTGATCCATATTTTATCCCAGTAATATTGGGACATCAATATAATTTAATTAAGGGCAGACAGCTGAATCAATAACTGCCTCCAGCTAGTTTTTCACTTGGTCCCTTCTCAGACATTGTGGAATTGCACGAGGCTGATACTGAACCACTGCAGCTTGTAGACTGACATGTTAAACTAATGCTAATTTTGGATTACCTCAGTGAGGGAGTTGTAAACCCCTGGAGCTGTTTTATGTGGAGCTTAGCTGTCCTGCAGACTTTGAGAGAGGCAGGACCTGCAGCTGGGGAAAGCAAGCATTTTAGTATGTGTTTAAGGACTAAATACCAGAAAATATTTTTTCCCTCTCCTAGGAACTTGAGTTTTCTGAAACAGGCTTTATTTTCTTTCTGTGAAATGAATCTGACAGAAGAAGATTTGTACTCTACTGAGGCAAGCACACAACTCACTAGAAATGGAGGTATAAAGAAAGCACGGATTTGGTATTCTGAGAGTTCTTGGCCAAGAGCCTGAGTAAAAATCTGTGGTTTTTGGAGTATGCAATGTTATGTCCTTTTAAGAACAGACTGAACCTCTCTTTTGAAAGCTTCATCCCCCTCATTCAGTAGTCTTTTTGATCATTTTACCAATCTGCAAGTATCTCAGCTGGACTTCACTCCTAAAACCTGAATCACAAAACTGTCCTTGCAGCTGCTCTGAGATAACATAGGGAAATAGGGGTTTTTTTTGTCTAGAGTACCTGAGAAATAGGTTTCACACTTATGACTAATCTACAGCAACTGAGGAAGCAAATTTAACTACTTGTACACAGTGTGTGGGCAGAAGAGTCAGACAAAAGTCAAAATATGTTGCTGAGAAGATGTAAACTCCTGTGCTACTGTGAGGAAGGGTCCACACAGGAGGCCTAGAACCTCACCAAAGTGAGTACCTGATGGGTGTAAGTCTTGAAACTAGCATTTCACTGTTGTTTAAAGTTGTAATCTTTCTTTTACTAGTATAGTTATAGTAATATAATACAGTTCACAGAGCAGCAATACAGCCCTATACACTTATGTATAAGTGTAATTTTTTCTGGAACAAATTATTCCTCTTTCTATATCAGAATGTGCTGTACAGGTATATATAGGCTCATACCATTATAGCTGCATCCAGACTAGGATGGGATTGTACTTTATTTACATCAGTATAGTAGAACTTCTGTGTACAGACAAAATCAGTTTCTCTTGAACTCCTTCAATCACTTCAAAGCACTCTTGAAGCTCTTTGTTTCATAAGAAGCATCTTGCAAAAGCCATAGATGCTGTACTACGCAGGCACGTAGTTTTATGGCTTCTGTCTCCTCACCCTGTTCCATTGCTTTCAGACAACTGAACCATTCAGAGCATAAGCATCCTTTGGTAAAAGGTTTGTTTCAGTTTCTCCACAGAGGTTTTTCAAGGTAAAAAGCCTATTCCCCTCAGAGACAGTTCCACCTTTATATGCCCCTGTAAACTGGCTCAGAAAGACTCTTCATACAGTTGTTTTTTCCTCTCCGTTCTCAGCCATTGCCGGGCTTGTGGAAAGAACATGCAACTGAGCACAGAGTATGAGAAGTCAGTGTAAGATGAGGACTGGATGTTGGGGTGAGATCCTGAACTAGGTCTGGCTGCAGAAGCCATTTCCTGTTGTGTGGAGTAAGATCCTGTGTAGGGCGATCATGTCCTTATGTCCTGAGGTAGCAGAGCTACAAATAAAACGCTACTTGTAAAAAATATCCTTAAAAAAAATTAATGCTTCAGTCTGTTGGTAAGTGAACAGCGAACTGCTCGTGTATTTGCTAGTAGACCAGGTATGTTTTACTGAGATTGACAGTCTTGTCCATGCTTTGAAGCTGCTTGTGTTGTGGCATGTTTGACATACTGAAAACATAGCATTTTTTTCTTTTTCTTTATTTGGCAGCATTTCAGTTGTGGAAAATTCAGCTTAGCATAGGATTTTGAAAAAAAAAGCATATATGTGAACTATTTGCCCCTTCTACTCAGAGTATAAAGAGAACTGATCAGAACTTTTGCCAGGCTAAGGTATTTTGAGTAGGGCAATCCAAAGAGCCATGATAGCCAACAAAAGTAATTAACCCACAGGTTAGTAAAAGGTTTTTCATCTCCCATGCATCCATTTTTATGACTGTTTTGAGTGGTAAATGTGATTCTTTCATTGATTTTCATTTGTTTTGATTAAATGTAACAAATTTTGCTAATTCTGCTAGTCATGGATTATGTTGTGCTTGGAAAATTACTTCATGCTTAGTTTCTTTGGCCTTGAAAAGTCTTCAAAGTCTTTCTTAAGGATTTGGTCTCAGTCCACCAGGTATGAGGTGGAGTTATGGCAGACATCCCAACACCAAAGTTATTTTGGAGGAATTTGTACAAACAAACTGTGTTTAGAAATAGGAAAGGCCAAGCTTAAGGTATGTGAGGTTATGTGAAACTTATTAATGATATTTTGAGGAGTTTGTAATCAGTCAGATTTTTTTTCCTGTCCTGATAATTTACTCTTTTGAAAGGAAATTTTCTGGCTACAAGTGATCTGCTCTTTCTGTTACAATTACAGAAGGTTCCAGGTTTATTGCAAAAACAGGCTGCCCACCAGTGACCTGCACTGAAGGTCGCTGAGTGTTGAAATGTGAGCATTCTTCTCTAGATACGCTGCCGTCCATGCTTCACCTTGGCATTACGGCACTGATGATGGATTGATCAATAAATAAGCTTCTCAAGGTGGTATTTTTCAGTTCCAAACATAGCAGTTATTACCTACAGGTACCTACCATGCTGTGAATACACAAATTTCTTGAAAAAATGAAGACATTTGAGGTATAAATAACGTACGTGTACTGAAAACATGAATCAGGGCAGTATTTTGGCCTTGTGAAATAAGTGCTTTTTGTATCTCTTATTTGGGGTCTTTGTCACAACAGCATCTCACAGTGGGTTTAAGCAAGCAGAGAGGAAGGTAAACAATTTGCAAGGGAGAGCAGAAAAACTAGTCTTACATCTATCACCTATATTTAAGGCAAATATTATCTTGTCTATGTGACCAAACTATCTCACCTGTACTCCCTTACATTGTCTTCTAATGTCAGTGAATATAGATTATATGTTGTAAAGCTGAGAAAATACCTGCTTATCAAAGTCAGAGGAGAGTCACCAAATCTATATGAAATAATGTCAGCAAAGCACTTTTTTGTTTGATTGTTTTTTTGGCTTTTGTTACCTATCCAATGCTGCTCTGTGCTGACAAAGTTGCCTTCTTAACAGGGTTGAGATATCTAAAAGGAAAGGCACAG